CTTTTTCTATTCTTCACATTTTTTTATGCAAGTGGAATATAGTTAAAATGGACCTCAAGGGAAACCTTGAAGGTGAAAAGAAATCACAGGAGGTTGGTTCTGGGGGTCGAGGATTGATTCCAGAAAGCCATCTTCCAATCTGCCTTGCTGTGATTGCAGGTTAGACAGTATGTTTGTGTTGGAATCTTAGGCTGCCTGTGTATGTAAGACCCAAGTTTTTTTTTCTTTTAAATATATATTAAAAAATATATAAAAATATATATAAATTTAATATATATAACTATATTTAAATACATAAATATGTAAATTTCTTTTAATATATGAATATATATAAATTTAAATATATAAAAATAAACAAATATATAAATACAAAAACTTATAAAAATAAATAAATATATAAATAAAACATACAAATTTAAATATTAATTTAAATATATATGAATATATATAAATTTAAATATATATATATAAAATATATAGACAAATATATAAAAATATTTATAAATATATATGAATATATCAAATATATATAAATTTAGATATATATATAAAATTCTTGATTCATTCTAACATGGGGCCACTAAAAGCTCAGATTTGGGGGAGGTTGCCCACTGTTCACTGTACGCCAGGATAGGTCTGTCTAGGCAGAATATAAATTCTGGTTATGGATAAGCTTTTGGTATTTAATGGGTGCAAAGAAAGGTAGGACTTCCTGGATACAAATGTAATTTAAGCAAATTTTGTTACATCTTTTGTGAATGTATAGTACCCAGTTATTTAGGCTTAGTCAGTACTAAACTAATAAAAGTGAAAAACAACTGCTTTACCACTGGAGAAAAGGGATAATTTATTAAAAATTAATGCTTTTCTCTCTCATTAATGTTCCTTCTAAAATTTTCTTTTGGAGAACTAAACCCATTATACAAATTAGTTATGTGAAAAGGCCATAATATAAATCAGTGAACTGACACAATATAGTCAATGAATTATTTCGAGTCTTTTGGCTTGGAAATTAGTTGCTTAAAACAAAATGCTATTTTTTGAACTTGACAAATACCAATAAACTTGGACGTTTTCACACAGGGGGAAAATAGTGTATGACAACACAAAGTAAATTGCATATAGCTTGGTTTGGAGTTATGTTTTTGAAAATAGTAATTAAAAACTAAGTTCATCATGGCCATGTAGGTGGTGTGGTAAATTGAGTGCCAGGCCTGGAGTCAGGAAGACTCTTCCTGGATTCGAATTTGGCCTCAGACACTAGCTATGTGAATCTGGGCAAGTCACTTAACCCTGTTTGCCTCAGTTTCCTCAACTGTAAAATGAGCTAGAGAAGAAATGGTAAACCACGCCTGTATCTTTACCACGAAGACCCCAATTGGGGTCATAGAGTCAGACATGACTGAAAACAACTGGACAACAAAAAAGTTCATCACAGTTCCAAAAGTTGTCTTGCTTGTTTGTGTTTCCCTCTAAATCCCCTTCTGGGTGTTTTAAGGACTTCATTGAAGGCCCTTCTTCCTTCCTGCCTAACTCCTCCCCCTCCTCCATTCCTTTTTTAAGAAATATAAGGCCCAGAATAGCACTTACTATGGTAGATAGTAGTTGGATTTTTTCAATGACTCTTGTGTATGACTACATCCCAGCAATTAAAATGCAGAAAATATGAAATCATCCTCTTCATTTTATTCAAGAGAGAGAGAACTAGGAATTTAGTCTTTGGCCCAAATCTTAAGAAGAACCTTGAAATGAGTTTGTCTTACAGTCTAACGGCTGTCAGTCCCTAGTATCTGAACAAAAATGGGTACCCTTTTCCATTAATGGATCTCAGAAAAGGCAGCTTTAAAAAAAAAACAAAAACTTCCTTCCTTCTTTGCTTTCTTTCTTCTTTTTCTTCTCTTTTTTCTTTTCTTCCTTCCTCCCTTCCTTTCATTCTCCTTCCCCCTTTACCTACCATTCTCAGCTGTCATTAGAGTTACATATTGCTTAGGTAGTTGAAGACTAAACAATTTAGTGTTTGTAAGTTAAACTTAATGCCTTAAGTTGAATCAGAAGTAAGCTTGTTACCTGTAAGATCTCCCAAAATCAATCAAGTCAACACGCATTTATTAAGTGCCTCCTGTTGCCAGGATTTGTGCTAAGTGCTGGCGACACAGAGAAAGGCAAAAAAACAGCAGCTCATAGTCTGACGGGGGAGACAACAGCCTAACAACTATGTATAAACTATAGACAGGATAAATTGAAGAAGATCTCAGAGGGATGACACTAGCATTAAGGGGGATTGGGAAAGGTTTCCTGTAGAAAGTGGGATTTACAGCATCCCTGCCAGAGTACAAAGTTGCAATTATAATCAGAAAGACCTTGGTTCAAATCTTGCCTTTGATACTAGCTGTGTGACCACAGGCCAGACGCTTAACTTTTCTGAGATTCAGGATCCTCATTTGTAACATGGCAGTAATAATGCCTTTATTACCTCCCTCCCAGGATTGTTGTGAGGCTCAGGTGGCATAGTGTATGGAAAGTGCTTTGAAAACTTTAGGTTATTATAATTTTTGTTGTTATTTAGTCATGTGTGACCCTCCGTGACCCCATTTGGGATTTTCTTGGCAGAGATATGGAATTGGTTTGCCATTTCCTTCTCCAGCTCATTTTTACAGATGAGGAAACTGAGGTTAACAGGGTTAAGTGACTCACTCAGGGTCACACAGCTAGTAAATGTCTAAGGCCAAATTTGAATTCTGGTCTTCTGACTCCAGGCCTGGCACTCTATCCACTGAGCCATCTAGCTGCCCAGTTATTATAATTATTCATGCTAAGAAGAGCTGGGATTCTGACATGGTATAGCTTTGGCATGCTTTGAACACGTTGTGCCTGTTAATTATCTTTGTGCCTTCAGAATTCAGTTCCTCTTTCCCCATGTCCCAAGCTAAAATCCCACCTTTTACAGGAACCTTTTCCCAATCCCCTTAACTCTAGCTCCTTCCTTAGGTTGATTGCTTCTGATTATATTTGCATCTTATCTCTCCCATTAGACTGAGCTCTCTGAGAGCAGGAACTCTATTTTACCTTCCCTTTTATCACCAGCACTTAGCCTAGTGCCTGGCATTTAATAAAGGTTTATTGACTAACTGACTTTCAGTGGAGCCAAATGTAGGACAAAGAATGATGTTCATAGTGAGGACCAGCAATTTCAAGCCCCTTCTTGAACCTTCCTCAGGGCAGCTCTCTTGGGACTGCCAATTCTGTGGGTTCACTATGCTGTTCAGCCGATTCAGACATTTATATTAGTCCTGATTTTCCCCTCCACATTCACATCCCTCTCCTCACCAAACCTCCAATATTCATAGCCCCTATAGGTTGGTAAGTACAATCCTTGAGCTGCTTTGAATGAGGAATAGAAATGTGAAAATTTGTTAGAGAATGGAACATCACAGCAGGGAATCCCTCCCCACCACCACCCCCAAGGACTTTTTTCCTTCCCTAAACATTTTGGAGGGGAAAAAATGGAGGGGAGAAAGATTCCCCAATTTGTGTAGGTATCGGGGTTTTTTGGCCAAAACTCCACATTTCTAAACCAAGTTTAGATATATTTGTATATTCTTGAACAAAGAAGATGTCTTTGAATTTGTAAGGGACATTTGTAAAATAAGTATTGCGTGTTTTTCTTTCTTTTGAAAAGGTTTTTTTTGATGCATTTTGCTCTTTCCACCAACGGACCAAGGAAAGAGAGACATGACGGCAGCTGCCAGCTCTAAGATCATATGGTAGATTGTGAGAGGCCTATTTGGGATCCATGATGTATTATTTCATGCCCCCCCCTCAAATGTCTGGTAGGACAGGTTTATTAAGAAGTTGGGGGCACAGCTAGGTGGCGCAGTGGATGAGCACCGGCTCTGAAGTCAGGAGGACCTGAGTTCAAACGCAGCCTCAGACCAAACACCTGACACTTACTTTAGCTGTGTGACTCTGGGCAAGTCACTTAACCCCAATTGCCCCCCCCCCAAAAAAAGGTTGGAAGATGACTTTTTAGGAGTATAAGGGATTTATGATTTATAAAGAAACTGGACTAACTGATCTCTGAGCTGCCTCCCAATTGTATGATTCTCATTTTTTCTACAGGAGGCTCTTTTTACCCTTTGGTTTCCACAGAAAGCCTTTGGTCTCTTCCAAATGAGGGACCTTAAAGACTTGGGTGCCACATTTGACATTTGTGGAAATATGAGTGCAGTGCAGTTGGCTGTGTGTGCCCTTCTCTATACTGAAGTGTTACTTGTGGGGCAATGCCTGACGGAAGGTGACTTCTCCTCTAGATGATGGACTCACGAATTCTCATCTACTTTTCCCCCAAGAGTATCCTACCTTTCCCACTAGGTGCCAGATTAGCAGCCTGCCAGATCAGCATGACATGATATAGCTCTCAGCATGTCAAAAGATGTTCCAGACCCCAGGCTACCCAATCTTCCAGGGAGAGAACAGCACTTTTTTTTTTTTTTTAAACTCAGAGTTAGTGGCCAACTTTTGATGAGTAGGGCTGGCCAAGCTTGTTTTCTGGATGGAGTCCTTTCAGCTGCTGCTATTCAATCTCTCCAATTTTATAAAGAGAATTAAATTGTGGGGCTGTGTCCCATTACATTTCACCTGATTTTCATGGTTGAATGCCATTTATTTTAGCTTAGGATTTCATTCCTGATACAGTGCTGTAAACGCTTGTCCCCAAAATAGGCATCTTTTAGAACCATGTGTCACAGGGAGAAGGAGTACAGTACATTGACCAGGCTGCATCCAGATAAAACTAATCCTTGGAGCAGTGAGACTGGTTGGCAGCAACTTTCTTTAATGAGTAGTTGGGTGTACTCAGCGATTTTATTGAAGTATAAAGTTCCATCCCCTCCACATAGAACACACTCATTAATGTGTTCCACGAAAGAAAGGTGACAAAGGGCTAGAGACACCCATCAGAAGATTCTTAAATATCTGGACTTTTTTTTTTTTTAATATAGGAGTGACAATACAAAGATTGACTTGGTGATAAGTACGGTCTCCAGCACCTCAGAGAAGGACCTCTCAGACAGGAGCAATGACATTGGTAAGTAAGGACAATCTTATAGTTTTGCAAAGTTATAAATAACTTTGGAGCACTTGGCTCGCTGCAGTCTGCTATTCCAAGCAGTGACATGGGAGATAATATGCCAAGATTAGTGGTGTTTTTTGGTTTTATCCAATTTTGTGAAGAAGGGAAATGAGAGTGGTTTCCATATTTAAACAAAATATTATTATTTTTCTGACTTTAGAATTAATGTGGTTTTAGATCTAATGAAAGTTGGTGATAACCTTTTTTTTAAAAAGTGAAGACCAGCATGAATCTTCATATTTTGTGTTAGAGAGTGATGCAGAATATACAAGTTTGGTACAATCATAGGCAGATACCTACCGGTCTTCTGAAATGAATGAGTTACTTAGGGTCTCTTATAATTTTGGGATCAAGAAATCGTGTGATTGATATGGATGTAATTCATAGCTTATCTCTGTAAGTGAAAAGGTTTAAAACCTAGTGAACATTATGGGGAGAAGAGGGGAAAATAGTACTGCCACTAGCCATTTGAAAAGCAAAAGGGTCTGACTTGTATACTAGCTCACTTAGGAAACCTAGTTTCGGGGACCAGTTTTACATGGAAACTTTCCAGGGTCATCTGTCTTGTAGCAAAGTGAATTTTGTAAGAGGTAGAGGCATTCCTTGCTCTAAATGTTACCTCCTCACTTTTCCTCATTCATTTGTGCTTCCTGCTAGAGTCATACTTTTTTGTCAGTTAAGTAACAGGTTTTGGAACTAATCTTGAGGGATACCGAATGCAGAAGCATAGAATTGAGCTGGCAGAGGAAACATTAAGCAGAACTAAATCTTTTACCTTCATGTGTGGAAGAATGTTTGCTGTGAGATTTTAACTGGTTAATAGCATTGTGGTGAATGGCTGTGTTGGAAAGGAATTGTAAATGAAGAGCCTGATAGACTTTTGGTGAGAACATTATAGTTTTAATATATTTGTCATGCTGAAATAGAGAAACAACATAATTAGAGGACTCAGAGTAAGAAGGCTTGGGTTTATTTCCTGCCTCTGACACATGAGGACCCACGGGCAAGTCACATGAGCTTTTGGAGCCTCAATTTTTTCATCTAGAAAATAGGTTTAGTAAAAGCCTCATGATGGAAAATGCTAAATGTGTCTAGAGAAAGAACTGCCAGAATCTGAATGCAGATGGAAATATTATTATTTTCACTGTAAAAAATTTTTTTCATGGTTTTTGTTCCTTTTATTCTCTTTCTTCTTTCACAACATGACTAATGTAGAAATATGTTTTACATGATTGCACATATACATATGTGTGTGTGTGTGTGTGTGTGTGTATCAGATTGCTTGCCATGTTGGAGAGGGGGGAGGTAAGAGGGAGAAAAATTTGGAATTCAATCTTATAAAAAATGAATGTTGAAAATTGTCTTTATGTGTAATTGGAAAAAATAAAATACTGTAAAAGAAAAAAGAAAATAAAGTTAGTAATAATTATACAACTGATCTCACAGGTTTTTAGGTTATGAAAGGGCCTTATAAACCTTAAAGTCCTTTGACATTGTGAACTATTATTATTGGTGTTGATCATGTTAATCATCATTACCAATATTATTAATCATTAATAAAGTAAACTATGTTCTATAATGAATATTTGATATTATGATTAGTACATTGATAGTTAAGGATTGTGGATATCATTATTAATTCAAATAAATAAGAAAGCAGGTAGCAAGATATTGAAGTGTTGGTGCCTTGGGTTACTATCAGTATGGTGGTTAGTAAAAGTGGGAGATTTCGAATTGATGGACTAGCCTTCTTTCATCTTCAGTTTGTTCTTCCATGAGTTTTCTCTTTCTTCTGAAACACAAAATTTTGAAATGGGAACTCAGAAAAGAAGTCAGGGTAGGAGGTGTAAATTTAGGAGTCATTTGCATAGCACTAATACTCAAAACCTTGAGAATGGATGAAATCCTTGAGAGACAATGAATTAGTAGAAGAGGCTGAGGCCTTACCCACAGAGGGTACCCATGTAGGGGTAGGGACAGCTCCACTGATTTCCCATCAACTTAAGTAATTTCCTTTGTTACAAAAGAACACTTTTTGATTGAAGTCACCATCAGAACCCAGTGTGAACAGGGCCTGTACGTCTTGACATAATCAAAGTCATTGTGTGAGATCCATGACTGGGGTTTTGTCCTGAGCAATTTGAATAAATGAAAAAGCAGTTTCAGAAATAAAGGGTCTGGATTTCAGAGGTCAAAGCAAGCTTTGAAGAAGAAATGGAAGACTGATCTGTGGTGGAGAAGGGAGATATTTAGGGGAGTCATTGGTTTTACAGGCATCTCAGAGCAGAGGACTGTCTTAGACTGGGGAGTTCCAAGAAAAGGTTAGCTCTTTCCCCCACCTTCCTCTTCAAACACTTGTTTCCTTATCCGAACATTTCCAATAAACTAAATTTTGCCTCAATAGCAAAGAGACCAAGGATTAACTAGAGATAGATATAAATGTTAGGTTAGGCAATATGTCTAACCTCTGCCTAGGGTGTTAATAATGTCAAATACAGCAAAAAAATCCAGGAGAATGAGGATAACTCCAATGGTGATATTTTCACTATTGTTTTTCAATTTTGTGCTTGTTTGGCATTTGTTTGTTGCTTTGGATCCTGGGGGAAATAATTATTTTAGGGTTGAGTTCACTACGGTTTTATTTATGTTTCTCAAAAAAAAGTTTTTATGGATTTTTTTTGTTTTTTATGTTATCATAACTTTCCCCTGTATGTCTCCCCTCCCCCTCCCAGAGAGCCATCCCATATAACAAATAGTATTTTCAAAAGACAAAAAAGGAGGACACATCAGCACAATTGATCAACACATTGAAAAAGTTCAAACACATATACAGTGTGCCATACCTTTGGACCTCCCACCTCCACAAAGGGATAGATTTGGGCTATCTTCTCATATCTTTTCATGTTTTGCTACATGCTTTTTTATATTCTTGTGTGTGGCTGTTTATATTTATATTATTATTACGTTATTTACATTTACATTATTGTATTATTATACAATTATATTATTTACATTTATCTTATTGTAGTTATTATGTATATTCTTTTCTTGCCTCTTCCTACTTTACTTTGCATCAGTTTATGTAGATTTTTCCATGCTCTGTACTCACCATATTCATCATTTCTTACAGCATAGTAATATTCCATCACATTCATACACCACAATTTGTTTAACCATTCCCTAATCAATGGGCATCCACGTTGTTTCCGGTTTCTTTGCTCTCACAAAAAGTGCTGCTATAAATATTTTGTAGTGTAGTGGGAGGTTTTTTTTCTCATCAATGGCTTCCTTGGAATGGGGGGAATTGTTTATGAAAATATAACATTCTGAAAAGCAGTTCAGACATTTGAAACTGTTCAGATGTAGCAAATAGGCTATTAACAGGGATAAGATCTGCACCTGTGATTTAACTGATACAGGGAACCACCAGGTCAGAAAATGCTTCTCTACCAGTGCAGGTCAGCACCTTCTCTGTAACTTTTGTTTTTTTAGAGGGTTGTCTAGAATACAGATTAGTGTAAGTGACTTGCCCAGGGTGACGTAGTAGGTGTCAGAGGCAGGTCTTGAATTAAGATCTTCCTGCTTTGTAGACAGGCTCTCTCTCTAAAATACACCATGCTGCGTCTCTTTGACCCACTGTCTCTTAGAATAATGGTGTACCCTTAAAAAAGCCATTAATGCCATCCTGGCTGCTATATATAAAACTGCTTCTCTTAATAAAGCTATCATAAAAGAATTACCATATGAAATTGTAGAAAATTGATTTTTCAGACCAAGTATAGGCAGCCAAAAAAGGATTCCAGCTTCTAGCAAGAGGGAAGATCACTTAGTCTAAAACCAAGTTGACACTTTTCTGATTTTCGCTGACTTGAAACATTTATTGGCTCTTAGTGTGAAGTTAGTTGTATTTCACTTGACAAGATAGAAAGTGAGGAAGGTCTGGGGTGGGGCCAGGGAATTAATGGAAATGCTTATTAAATTACCCAGCTATCCATGGTAAAGGAAATGCCTGTGGTCAGATTGAATGGGAGTGGGTAGGGTTGAATAACATAACATTTACATTTATGATGCCTAAATTTCAGTAATTATTACTTAGAAGGATTTATTGTTCCTAACTCATCCTCTCAGAGCTCCTTATTCTCATCAAAATATGGCACCTTGGTTGATTTTAATAAATTAAATTCAAGAAAATCTATGACTCTTTCCTCATCGCTTCTTACTGCTTTTTTGGATTCTTTATGTTTAGTGATGCCTTTCTTTTCCTTTTTATTCACATCTCATCAAGCTCCCTCAACCTTCATCCTTTTATCATGGGTAACTCCTCTTCACTAGACGAGGGTAAGGATTTTTATTTTCCATCTCCTTTTGAGCCTTGTCAAAAGTAGTCTCCCTTTTCTTACCACACTTTAATTGTAGCTAACCTGTCTTGGTACCCACATGTGACTTGCTGTGAAAATAAATGGATTTGCACTGTGGAACAGCTTTCCTTTCTAACTCCACGTCTGCTTCTGCCCTCTCAGGAATGTGTCTGGCTTCGGGCCTGTTGACTCATTAGTGCCAAGGGATTTAATCACTTTGATCTGTTTTGTAGAAATAGCAATGAACCTAATTGAGTTAATCTTTATAACTGAATTTGAAGCCCCCCCAGATTAAAAAAAAATTCGCATTAATTTATCAATTCAGAGGGAAAGGGTTAGAAATACCAGTGGATCTCACTTTATAAGACTGTTGTATTTTTGAGAAAAGCTATATAGAAGTCAAATTTTTATAAACAGCTTCATATTTTAAATGCACTGAGAAAAATTGATCTTTAACCTGTGAAGGAGCTATTAGTGATACAGATTTTCTCATTTATGCATTCAGTAAATTTTAATTTTTGAACTCATGCCTTCTTAAATCAAGAAAGACCCGTCCCTTGCCTTTAGTGTGCTCTATCTGGTGCCAGTCCTTTGGTT